AGCTTGTTTTTCACTGACCTTGCTTAGATCCTAAGTGATAAAAATCTGATCTCAGAGTTGAATATGTTGTTAAGATTACATCATGATCTGCAAGGACTTGAGGGGGAATAAAACCCATCTTGGCCACACCTTCATAAACCTGAGAAAATGCAAAAACAACCATCTTTATTTAGTGTATCTCAAGTTTGATTTTTTTTATCAACCCTGCCTGCAGGTAGGTTAATCAGAGTCTAGGCAGGCCAGTCTTTCGCACTTTGATTACAAAATAATGTACTTACCTATGCATCTATAACTGAAGGAAGGTAACTAATGATACATAAGCCGCAGTGGAAAGAGGCGGGGGGCAGTTGGGGTAAGGGTTGGGGTTGAGGAGTGGAGGAGATGAGAAAAGACCTGTGTGTAGAAATATGGCCTAATGCCAAAAAGAATGGTAAGTCTAGACAACTAACACAGCCCTAACAAAGACCCCCATGTCCAGAAACACAGTCGATACCTTTTCCTGCTCCTTATCATATGTCATGACTGCTAAGTTAAGGAAGATCTGTGAAATATAGTTTGTGCCTGAGCTGGTATAACTAAACATTTCATGAATATGAAGCGAGCTTTGCAGTTATGAACACTACTTAAAAAATTCAGGCCTGTACAGGATTTGAACCCATGACCTCTGCGATACAGATGCATTACTCTACCAACTGAGCTAACAAGCCAACTGGGAGCTGGTCACTGTGTTGGTTTGTAATAAATTTGTGAAGTGATGAATCTATGACAGTGAAAACATGAAAATCATACATGTGAACCGTGGTTTGAGACATGAAAGCAATCTTTGCAGTAATGAACACTATTTACGCTGTAGTGAGAATAAGGCCCACTGTTCATGAACATTTTGTCTTGGTTGAGAGACTCATCAGATACCTCAATGAATTTCAAACCTTTAACTTCCAGAAACATGTAACTTCTCCTGATAAGATCCATACATTATCCAGCAAACAGGCAATGAAAATTAATACTCAAACTTATCACATATGAGTTGCTCTTAGGGGTTAAATGGTAAAAAAAAAAAAAAAACCATCCTGAAAAGACTGCACACTTTCTTACCAGCAATTTAACTGTGGATGGTTGTGTATGCTTGGAGATTTCCTCCACCCATTGTTGGGCAATTGGAGCAGGAGAAATGATCAGTGTTGCTCTGGATGGAGTGGCTGGTCTACTTACGGAACAATGAGGGCATAAAAAGCCACCAGGATAATCATAACCAAGGCATGTAGCATGAAACACTGCTTGGCATTCACAACACTGCAGCAATTTGTCATCAACACTGGCCAAATTTACACCACAGATACACTGGCATTTCATAAACTGTGTGGCACTTTCTTCATCTGAAGTATAAATATCTGAATTTGTCTTAGCCATTTTTTGTCCATCTGTACCAAGAGCAAGCTCATTTGAATCTTTATTAGATGATGTTGTGCTGTGACCTGAGTCATGACTTGAACTGTCACCTTTTTCTGTGGTTCCCTTCATTTCTCTGGCAATATCACCATTGCATAAAGGTGGTGAATTCTCACACAAAGTTGGCTCCTTGTTTGAGCTATGGCCTGTAACAGCTTCATCACAGTCATTATTTTCACACTCCGCAAGTTTTGATTTAGAGCCTTCTTGTATCATGCTGTTACATGTACTTGATGTGTCTGTGTGTGGTTCAGAAGCTGTTAATGTGTAATCAATTGACTTGACCTCTGATGAAGGCTTTGAATGACACAAAATGCATGCAATCACCTCCACTGTCTTTCCAAGTCCCATTTCATCAGCTAAAATTCCTCCAAGAGGCAGGGATGGCTGGCAGAATCTTTCTTTTGTAAGTCTAAATTAATAATTGATATAAAGAAATTGCTCAAGATGAAACATCTACAAGTCATTAATTAAACCTTTGACTCCAACGAGTGACCAAGACATAGTTTCTCCTTACAAATGCAATACAATATCAAGCAGCTTACTGATGAGAATAGCAAGAAAAGAAAAAATAACTACAAGATTATCACTTGATCCAACAAAAAATTCTCAGAACAAACTTTTATGAAATGTAAACACACAATATGTTCATTGCCAGCCTAGGACATCATGTTGTGTAAAGAAACATTCCCTGGCCTAAGAAGGTGGGTGGAGGGCAGAGATAGTAAATAAAGAAGGGTAAGGGTATTGATCTTAGGGGAGGAGGGGGAAGAGGGGAGGGGGCATTACATATAGTTCACTATGATGTGCAACCTTCTCACTCTCCCCTCCCCTCTCCCTCTCATCAGCTTTCTGCTCAAGGGGAGGGGGGACATGACATATAACTCCATGATGTCCAACCTTCTCACCCTCCCCTCCCCTCTCTTTCTCATTTGCTTTCTAGCTTACAGATGATAAGTTTAAGGTATTGAGGTGAGAAAAATGGGTCACATAGCCCACTTTATGTTCATTTATCATAACTGCCATTCGTGTACCTTCCAGTATAAGGACTGTAGTAAATCATCTTTCCATCCAAACTGTGAATTTTCTGCCATAATGGGTGAAGACTATGAGCTGCAAGTATATGAAAAAGAAACAAATTTGTGATTTTTTTTTTACTTTTTAACTCTAAAGTTTATCACATTTTGTGGGAGATGTGGTGAATGAGTGATCATTGTGCAGGACTCCAGGTTGAGAGATCCAGCTTAAGGACCTGGCTGGGTCAGTGTGTCTCTCTCTCCACCCAGGAGTATAAATGGAAACTGGTGAACTGTCATGGGATGAAATGCTGGGGGAGGGATAACATTTTGATCTGGGAGTAAAGGGTTAAAAACCAGAAAAAGCACTGGCTGGATGGGCCTCTTAGCTCTGGTACAGACTTGCTCTGTTACTTATTCATTTCATACCAACTAGCACCAAAAGTGACCAAGGAATTCCATAGTTCTGAGTAATAAACATGTATTTGGCAAAACAAAGACTCTTTAAACCTTTCACTCCCACAAGTGACCAAGACAGAATTTCTCCTTACAATATCAATACAATATCAAGCAAGTAGGTGATGAGAATAAAGAAAAATATGAATTATGGGATTAGTTGATCCAATACAAAATTCTCTAAACTAACATCATATGAATTGTATGGTAGACAGTAAGGAGAATTACCAATAAGATCTTGGGAGTGGAAGGGCTAAGGTAATATTCTACTTACCATCAATTTCTTTCCTTTGACATCCAGATGTCACTTGATGAGCAAGTTCTCTCTGTAACATCCATTCAACAGCTCTTCTTTGATAACCTCTTAGCACAGGTCTGAGATGAGGATGCTGTACATCAAAATCATTTGCTCCATTACATCTGTTGATTTCTGCATTCAGACTACAATTGTTATCTTTGTCTGCATCAAGTACATGGCAAAGGGTTGTGTTTGAGAGAGAAGACCTTGGTACAGACGTGGACGAGCAATTGCTTTCGCGAACTGCCTTGATAGCATTGTAAAGTTCATCAAAACCTTTGTCTACTCCTGCATTATTGCAGTCCAGCAAAACAGAGTCATCGCCTCTTGCAGATATGTTATAAAACCATTCTATTAACACTTTCATCAACTGGTCTATTTTCCTATTTTTGACATCAGCGCATGCAGAAGACATCTCGGTTAAGCCATTCTCCTTCAAACACACAACAACTTCCCAGCTTTCTTTTAAAATATGTTGCTCTGGTTTCAGCACTAGGGAAATCACACCTTTGTTTTGCAGGTAAACTAATGCTTCGAGTTGATGTGTGGAAACGGAAGGAACTGTTGCTTTAAAAGAGGCATGTCTCAAGCAGCCATTATTTAACTCAAACAAGTTCTTGTCATCTGTTATTGAATGCTGTGGCTCAAAGGAAAGTTTTATCACGACGCAGTGATAACAATCCACAGTCCACAAGTCATCAGAGATACCAGTTCCATTCTGTGATTTCAATTCATCACGTTGCGTTTCACTCGTGCACAAATTGATGTTAAACAAACCTAACTGACATACACAGGTTTGCGGGTAAGAGTTTTCCAGATTGAGCTCGATGCTTCTGTTACGATCAAATGCGTTTTGTCTCTTCTTCTTCTTCCGAGGACTCGAAGCTGTTGGAGTGTTAGTTTCATCATTGACTGAAGAGGAATCGATAAAATTCATCGTGGTCTGGTAAGTGGAGCCTGAAGCCGGCAAATGGAAATCAAGCATATTCCAGGTCAATTCTGCTCGCTTGTCTTCACTGAACCTCTCAGGTGGCCTCTGCTTTCGCTTCCTATTTGACATCGTTGGAAATTCTTTCCCTCGAAAAGACGAAACGCTTTCGATGAACAATCTCAGTGATTTACAACCAAAAATTCAACTGTGTTTATCAAAAATTCACTAGCGATTGGTGTAAGCGTAAATGAATTGTCCCAGATCAAGCTATACCCAGGACCACGTGCGAGTTAGTTTGATCTGGCCTCACTTTCGTAACGAGGGCACAGCTGATAAATTACTCGTTCTAATACCAGTTGTTTTCCTTCTCAATGGCGGGAGTATTTCAATTAGCTAGGTAGGCATTTAATAGCAGGTATGACAATTTCTAACGGAGATGCAGTATCAGATAGTCCATGAGCACAGATAAATTTCTGGTGTGTCCTCCTCTGATTGATAAAAATCTAAGTTAACAGACAGCCATCTATTTAACAAACTGCTTTCATGTACATGTTGCCACGCATTTGTTCAGTGGTAAGATTGCAGATAACATCAAAATGTGGTAAGACCAAAAAAAGTCACACACAAGGAAGACTATCACTAATGCTCTAACCACATTTGAAAGTCTCCTGTAATATTTTAGGCTAGACTCATAGCCACATGGAATCCATTTTATAAACACAAATTTCATTTTCTGACTATTTTCAAACTTTTTTCCCGCATTGTAAGCCATTCCCAAGAGAAAAAAAAAAATATGTGTGAACTTGTAAATCTATAATTCAAAGCATAAAAAAGCTTTTGTCACACCTGATACGAAAAAATTGGTTTTTATTTAACTTAAAATTGTGATTAGCATTACTTATAATAATTTGACGACAGTTACAGTAAATGTATTTACAAGCAAGTGTGTCATATTTACATACATCTCAGTATAATGAAAGTCTGGAATATCAATAAATACTAGTAATTACATAAAATAAGGTCATCCCTTATAGTAAATTATAGAATGGTACCTCAAAAACCTATAGGTCTTGCAAACTCTTTGTCAAATCAAGACTTCTTAGTCTTTTTTCAGTCTCGAGTCTTGTCATTTGAACATACTGCAATAAAGTGGCTGATACCTGAACTACAGGCATTTCCTGCCTTTCAGTGGAGTCCTTCATATGGTGCACTAACATCAGATTTCTTTAATGATTTTTTTGGACATGATGGACTTTACTGAAAAGGACGGATTGCTCATAGCTCAACTGATATCTCCCAGAAGCAACACAAACAAGAGTATTACAATTCTAACGCAACATTTTCTGGTCAATAATAATGCATTCTGCTCATTGTAGTAAACAACACTCATAACAAGATCCAAAGCTACATATGTTTGGTCTTGGTGTATGATTTTTAAAGAAGAATCTTAGCATTGCGTTAGTCTAAGATCTCACCATTCCCTACCCTATCTAATTTATCCATATTGTTTGACCGCTTCAGGCCAAGTAACCCAACCAATGAAAAAGTTAAAGTGAAATTAAAAACTTGCCTGCTTGTTTTCACTCTGTTTCCTCTACAAACATATGGAAGAATGTTGTTGTGATCACTGTAACTTCACTGCAAACCATGCTACACTCCCTATAGTAATTATAGAATTCACCAGGACCCTAATCTGCTTGTGGTGATCAGGATACTTACTGGTTGCCAAAAACATAAAAGATACAACATCTGCATCTGCTTTAGATCTACCCCTGGACAATTAAAAACCTAAATCCTTTACACCCTCACATCAGAATGCATATTCTCCATACTGTTCTCTACACATTTCCTAGGGTACTGACAAGGAGAATTTATTTAACAGTAAAGGACTTTTTTGTTGGTGATCTTTTTCTTTATTCTCATGACCTTAATGTGCAATTCAGGGGTGATATTGTTTGGAGAAATTAGATCCTAGTCACTCATTTGGGTCACAGGGTTAAGAAAATTGCAATAGTATCTAAATTAAAACCTTCTGATTCCATTGGTAAACTCAAGATTGTCATAGTACCAAAATTTGAAACTTCTGATTCCATCAGTAAACTCAAGAATAACAACAGACCTTAAGTTAGAAAGTCAATTCTTTGTAGAAATTAATGAAATTCAGTGCTCTTAATTGAAAAAAAAAGAAAAAAAAAACACTTGAAACATAAATGAATTTTGTACAGGGTGAACAAATACTATGTACAATGCAGGAAAATTAAAAATAAGTTCTCCTAGGAAAGAAAAGAAAAGAAAAGACTATAAAAGGGCAAAAGGAAACTATACACAAAGTTGCTAATAATTAAAAAAACTAGTATGGAAATTGAACAGCTCATCACTGCCATCGTGATTTTGCAGTAAAGCATGTCCTTTAACTTTCTGCAAAGGTTTCAATTTCCTGAAAAAACTTAATCAGCCCAACAAAAACCACTTATACTTATTTTTTTTAACTAACATGTCTAGCAAAGTGGTAATATTAGGGACCTTTTTTAAGCATTTAAGACAAAAACACTGAGGAAGATTTTAATTAACACATGAATCTCTATTTTTAGTTAGAATTTTGCAAATAGCTGCAAATTTTGCAAATAGCTGCAAGTTGGTACTATTACTGTTAGCTGCAAATGGCTGGATGTGTTTACCATCTCTTGTGGCAACAAAACTGAACTGCAGCATAACACTGGCAGCAGTGTTTGGTTCCAAATGGAAACTTAATTAATTTGCTGTCTGGGTTTCTGTTCTCAAGCCATGCAAATTTAAGTGATTTCACATTGTTTTTTTGTTTTTTTTTTGCAGAGGATGGCTAAGAAAAGTACAAAGTTCTAATACCCACAAGATGGGCTATCCTTCTTTCCATAAGATCTTTTGTTTTGCCATGTCCTCATTGCCATCACCACATTAGTTTGTTTAAGGTCTCTTATCACCTCTAAAATACTTAAAAAAATCTAAGGATTTCACTTTGCGAGATTTACAAGGAGAGCAAAAAAAAAACCATAGAAATGCTTAAAATTAATTATGAAAAAATATTAACATTTTGATTTCTGATTTATCTTTCTACAAGAATCCTACTGAGCTTGGTGAATATTTTTACAAGTTAAGTAATTAATAGACAAAAAATAAATTAGACATTAAAAATTATTTCCTAAACTCACATGGTACAAGAAATTAATCGTCTTCATTGCTACCAACACTTTCCAGGACCGATAAACTGTCCTTATCCACTGTGCTTCCTTGATGAGAGATGTTAGTAACAGATGTTCTATCTACAACATCAGTTTCCATTACCATAGCCTCTGCAATAGATGAAGATGTTCCTATTCCATCACAAGAATTGATGTTAAAATTGTCAAAGCTGCTGGCTATGCTCACAGTGCAGCTTCTAGGGCCAGGGATGAGGGATGCATGGCTGTCACCGTCACCAACACCTCTTGGGCCAATTGTACCACTGTCTAAGCTGGAACAGTCCTGACTCATGCTGATACTGGGTTGCTTGCCGCTTTCTGTGTCTAAGGGGGATGATACTAAGTCAGCATAGTACAGTGGTAAAAGCACACTGCTCCCACAATTGGAATAATTGTAACCCTAACCCTAATTCTGAAGCACAAGATCTGATTGTTAATTCTCCCCTCTAGCTGTGACATATTTTCTTGTAAATAAGTTATGAGAATTTGGTGTTAGATCAAGATAACAACTTCTATCTGACAAGTTTGAGTATTCTCATGACTTGTTTGCTGGATAATGTTCAACTGCTACAGGGAGAAGTTACATGTTGATCACTTTTGGGAGTTAAAGGGTTGCATTCCCTTGAAAGACATTCTTCAAATTAAATTCTTCAATTAACTCTCACATGACTTAACCCCCTTAGTATCTTGCTATTTTTTAATTCACTTTGCCAATTCATTTTAACAGGGCTCTAAAGTGAGACTTAACCCTATCCTTCTCCTGAGTGACAAGAAAGTAATTTCTCCTCACAGTATCAATACATTTTCAAGAAGAGGGGTAACGAGAAGAACAAAAACATCAACTGAGAGATTTTGTTCGAGTTTACATCAAATTCTCAGGGCTATGGTTGTAGTGTAAGTTTGACAGATGCTGAGTAAAATTAGTATTTGGATATTGGTTAGGAGTGAAAGGTTATAGTATCCTCATTTGCTTCAAGACAAAGTCACTCTGTAGATCACTTCATATTGTGCTAATATAAATTTGTCAAGCATTGTAATAAGACAATTAGCATTTGATTACCTGTTCCTGTGTTGTTGACAGTGGCCACAACTGTCACCACCCCTGTTGAAGACCCCTTTTCACCAACTCTCATGCTGCTTCTGCTGCTAGATTGTGATGTACCAAACACCCCAGCGACACTGGCTGGCCCAGGGTCTCCATCTTCGTCAAAATCAAGGTTCACTCCCTTGCCATTGCGAATATTTGTTACTGTTGCACAGCCTCCACTGCGGCACAGAGAAACTGGCACTACACCATAGATATACCCAAGAGCAATTGGCACCCCAACACCCACAGTAAGTGCAGCTAGGATGGGGGATGCAAGGACAGAAAGGGTGACTGCCCCAGTGATGGCAAAGTTCCTCTTCCTTCTCGACTGATATGGCTTGTCATACTTGTCATGCACCTGTATAAAACAATGTAACCCTTAAACTCCCAAGATCTGATTGTTAATTCTCCCTTATGATTGCTACACATTTCCTAATGAGAATTTGGTGTTAGATCAAGATAGCAAGTTCTACCTGATAAGTTTGAGTACTCTCAAAACCTGTTTGCTGGATTATATATCCACATTAAAAGAATAGGTTAGATATAAATCACTTCTAAGAGTTAAGGTAGAACACATGTGTCATTTAGGCCAACTTAAAGAATCCTGAGAAGTAAAAATTTAAGAAGTTTACACTTGCATCACATAAAAACCAACTGCTTCTGGTTGAGCAATTTACCTGGAAAATAGCATTTTTTCCCCTTAATCTAAGCTTCAGCACAAGACAAAGAAACCAAAAGATTTCTTTATAGCTTTTTGTAATAAGATAATTCAAAACAGTGCCTTAAAGCCAAGAAAAAACTTTCATAGGTGCCAAAAGGCTCTTTTGAACAAATATGGTGAGCAAATTTCTCTTCATTCCTTCTTCTGGCATTTTCCTGCCTTGTCAAGGAAAAAGTTCTAACTCAGATCATTTTTCATCAACCTAACACAAAACATTCCTCCTCAAATAACACAACCAACTTAGTGATAATCATTCCCCTTGCTTTCTCATGATCAGAGGTATTTCAGTGAAAATGAGGTGGATTGTGTATATATGTACACAGAACTTAACAGTGAAAGACAAATCCCTTACAGTGACTCTGACAGCCAATAGAAGGCTCTTACCTGTCGGCCAACATACACAGGAATACCAATCACCATGGCAGGAAGTACCACCCCTGCAGCAAGAGCTATTCCAAGAGGTGCACCTATGAGTGTTCCCATTTGCCAGAGGATTTTCTTCTTGCGACTCCAAGGCTTTTTACCCCAAAAGGTACAACCAGAAGGACTAGAGTGAGAAAACAAGATTTTTTCCAAATAATTCATACTAGATTTGATCACAATCAAAACAAAATTATTGAATGTGATTGGTTAATACCAACCCTATTTTAACACTAAAAGGACAAGGCAAGTGTCTTGCTTGTAATTGGGCAGTGTACGAAGACAGTATATGCATCAAACCTATGTAAATGGACAGTGTGCATCATGTGCAAGCTCTTTCCATGTATTTTGCAGAGTTGACTGTTGTTTTACATGGAAAGGTATAATCAATGGCTAGTTTGTTTCTTGAAATTTTTCATTTGACAGTGTTGTAAATCTAAATTGATTAGATTTTTTTGTGTCATCCAATTCTGCCTATGACCATACATGTGATTAATAAGTCAGACTTCCACTTTACAGTAGTTTTATACTGTATAGGAGAGAGTGGAGTCCAATTCCCCTCTTGTGATTTGTGACAACATGGACTGAAATTGTGGATGTCACCTCATAAAAAAAGGAAAACTTTTTACTGTTTTTGGTTGGGAGTGATTTCAAAGATTCTACCACTTGAATCTTTTCAGAAGTTGTCAAGCATGCAAACTTCGTTTGTATGCAAGTATGTCCTATTCAGGTTGAACCAAAATTTACAGCCCTTAGTGCTTGTTGACTTAGATTGGTTGAGCTGAGCAGAAAAATATTTGGCTCTTGGTCATGATGCATGGCCTGCAATGCACTTGGTCCATACATCATAAACTGGGGCCAATATTTTTCCCATCCGGCCCACCCACCCAGTCAATAAGTATGAAATATTCCAAGGCAGAATTACGCCGTGGTTCAGCCCAGGCTTGCTCCTGAACTTCTTGACCTCCACCCCGCAGTGCTAAATTAAACTCCACATCTCCCACACATATAATTATAAGAATATGACGTTCAAGTTTGATTTTCACAAATGCCAAAGCTAGTGAAGGTATTTTTACATCACTACCTTTACACATCTTTCTAAACAACTTCCAGTACAACAGGATTACTTTATAGTGCCTCATTAGTAGATAACCTTAGATTACTACATAGAAAATGGGAAAGTCTCAAGGTAACTGGCTAGGGAAGGTCTGTTGCAGGAGAAACAAAGCTACAGTAAAATAGAGCCCGCAGTGGTACCATTAAGGTACATGAATCAAATTCTAAAAATAAAATGAAAATGAAATACCTCAAGTAATGAAGATCTGAGATTTCTTTCATACATAACCAACAAAACTCTGCTCCACACACTGCACAAGTCATATGATTACATGAACCATCATCCATCTTGATAATAAAAGCTCCACATCTCGGACATGGCTTCATGTCATCTGAGCCATTTGAGCTTCGTCCTTCAGATCCAGAAATGGATTTGATGTGAGTAGCTCGCCGAAGTCGTGCTGCATCACAAGTCAAATTAGGATGCCATATTTGCTTGCAGTGATAACAGAACTCAGTGTTACATCCCGGTCTTTCACACTGCAGTTTCGGGCAGCTTGCACATCCCGATGCTATGACTGCAAAGCCGCAGTCCGGAGCGGGACACCAACGACAATCAGGATCAGCAACTAATGTCCTTCGAAGAGTAAACTCGTCATATTTGGCCATAAGGACATCATCATTTAAAATCAGTTTTATATCATTCGGATGAAATCTTTCTGAACACTCAGGACATGTTAAGTTCACTCGCGATTCATTTATTTCGATTGTCATATACTGCCGCAAGCACTCAAAACATGATCGATGTTCACAAGTTGAGATTTCTGGGAACAGAGATTTCGCTCTCATTGCATAACAAACTGGACAAATAGCCAGTGCCTCAGTGCTGTTTTTTCGAGTGAATTTATCCGTCGTGTTCTCGCCTTTGTACGTCTTTGATCGTCCAAACAACCGTCTGAGTGAAAATCTCCGATCGTCGTTTCCATTTTGTTTCGAAGACGGCTCGTTCATAACAGTTCCTTTGCTTCTTTCCACATCAGTACCACTGTCTTTCGCCATGAATTTAATTAAATCCCCCGTTCAAACTAAACACAAAACACAATTATCAACGTTACTTCATTGAATCAAATCTGTCACGTATTGCACATTCGTGCGATTTTCCTCCCCATCTCAGGGCACGAGCTTCAATTTATACACTTATAGAGCACTCAACAGTCTAAAAATATGGTGCCGACGACAAAAGTGGCACAATCTTGTAAGCCATTACGCGTTAAAAAGACGAATTTAGCTTCACATGTAAATTTTCCTTTTCATAGGTCCGTAATAATACTGAATAACATCAAACAATTTCTCATGTTCGCGGATACAATTGATAGGCCTTACTACTAACTTTACCCCAGCATCCGATGATCTGCCGAAACACAGAAATAAAATTACTAAGAGACTACGAAAGATCTTTCCATCTCGTTTTTTCTCCAGAATCTTCCGTTAGCGACGGCAGTGTAACCCAAACAATTTAAACCTCTACTAGATATCTGCCAAAGTTTCGAAGTGTGTCTACCTATCGCAGCAGAATAATTTCATGAAAAGGAAAAGCTACTTAATCGGTAACTCAAAGGAAAAAACTTATGACGAATAATCTTCCTTACCTTTCCTGGTTACACGATCTCCTGCGTCAAATTTCAAAATTAGATGTCAAACATTCCACTTTACAACGCCTTTTGGCTCGACCGAGTTCAAGCGCACGAACGCGAATTTGACACGAGAAAACAGTATCTGTTGTTAATTTTTCTCAAAAGAAACTCAAGTTTCGAAGATTAGAAATTCCCTTCAAATGTATTCTTGCTGAGCAAAACCTTTACTTCGGTCGCATTTCCGTTTTAAACAACAAAGCTGAATTTGAATGCTGTTCAACCTTGCAACTTAGAACAGTCTAGCCGTTTCCAGGCGAATACGTGAGAGCTGAATAATACTTAACCTAAGACTGACACGAAACTGCTGTTGAGAGAATATAACGAATTCTATCAAGAGGTAGGAACAACAAGGGAGGCAAATAGACTTCTCAATCGCCAATGGCAAAATAAACGGTTGTCTTATCCGGATCTTTCTTCGACCGATCTTGAATTGTTTTGCTCCAGATCATGTGACCACTCAAGTGAAGACTGACGTCACATGTTTCCCTTTCCACTAGTTCCCATGCCTTCGGAGACAATAGAACAATTGACTTGTGGAAGCTGTGAGCAGGATGCAAGTTAAAATATTGGTTAAATGAGATTTGTGAGATCTAGGAAGTCTTATATTTTTATCAGCTTCGGCCTTATAATAGCTCTTTTTCTTTTTACACACTGGAGATCATACAAAATTCTTGTTGAAAAAAGTCACGAAGAAAGAGTGACACATGCTAAAGACAATAAGCTTGGAAGTCATGATCAGCTGAGCGGGAAGATGACCCAGCAAAACTGCTCACCGGAAAGTGGCTTGCAAACATCCGCCCACTGCAGAAAGAAAGGTGAAGATGGAATTGTATGCTTTTTTAGCGCAGTGATGTCAGTCCAATATGTGTCATATCATATTTTTGCCTCTAATATTCTGGTCACTTTCGAATTCCTTTTAAGCGGTAACTTGATAACGGCGTAATTTGGGGTTATCGCAGTCCATAAACTGTGAGATTTTAAGTTACTGACCCAGTATATAAATATGTACATATAAATATATACATATATATATATATATATATATATATACTGACAGATTTTACGCCGTTAACTAAGATATTTATAAATTATGTTACTATATATATTCCCCTTTTTAAGAGTCAACTGCTTTTCGTGGAAACAAATTAGTTACTCTAATTAAGTAATTTCTTTAAGTTGGAGCTGGTTATCGCGTGACTTAATAGTGCAGGTGATTTCCAAAAATACGAACAAGAGTTCAAACGTAACAGGGCAATAATTCCAAAAGCTGTGTTTCTGTGTTGCTCTGTATCTGTTCGGTAGCACATTTCGGATGATGTAAAAAATGTGATAAGAACAAAAACGTGGAACACGAGGTGAGGCAGAGTTTGTCGCTGATGTGCTTACGACACTTTTGACGTCTTCTGTGACCTGTTACTGTTCAGGCAATCGGCAACATGGAATCTATTTCTTTTATATGATAGCAAAGCAAAATATTGTTAATGGTGATCTCATTTAGGCATCTGTCCTTCAATAGACCCTAATTAAGGACCACTCGTAATGCGTGTATGATTCAGTTTTGAGAACTCTCTTGACTTGTGACTCCTTGATCCTTAGGAATTCCTGGGAAATCTTTGATCTTTTTTCCTATTCTGGGAACTTCCCTGTGATAAGGAAAAAGTTTAGAAAGCACTTTCGAGGAAACTGACAGATTGATACTTGTAGGGACGACAAATTTTCAGGAGACTTTTATCAGTGAAATAGAATGACAAAGCTTTTATGACATGTGTTTAATTTTGAACTCTGGTGTGGAATATTTGATTTTTTTATTACACTGGAAAAGATGATAAGCATGCATCCCCACCCCCTTCATTTACTAGTCCCTCCTCCTGACATTTTTATTTTGGGCTTACCCAGTAACTCTATAACTCCCAGAAGTGACCAACATGTAACTTCTCCCTTTAATATCCATATGTTTTCTAGCAAACAGTTAATGAGAATACTAAAACTTATTGGGAAGAAGTTTTTATCTTGATCTTACACCAAATTCTCATAACTCATTTTCAAGGAATTGTGTTGCAGCAAGAGGAGAGAATTAATAATCAGATGTTGGGAGTTAAAGGGTTAAACAAGATCAAGATTGAGATCAACTTTATTTAAACAGGCTAGCCTATTATCAACATTATAAAAAGCTGGTTTCCAGTAGAGGCATGAAATCACACATCATGTACAGACCTTTTACCTCTCTGTTAGGGTAGTTAGCCGTATGAAGCAGTAATTTCTGATTCCTTCTCTCTCCTTTTGTTTTGAGATTAATATTTCTCTCAAAAGAGTTTTTAAAGGAAATGAATGGTTGTTGTTTTTCTTTATTTTAGGTATCCTTGGGGTGGCACCCTCAAATTTATCAAGTTATAAGCCTAACTTAATGGGCCTCTTTGCATGTTTGTCTGGAGAACTAAGCATCAGTTGGACATCTGTTAATGATGATTACTGTGATTGTCCAGATGGTAGTGATGAACCAGGCACAGGAGCATGTCCAAATACAAGGTGAACACACCAAGCCAGAGATAAGCTAAATTATAGCAAAATTGATCAGATAGAGGTAGCTGCAGAACAGGCCACCTTTTTTGCAGTTAGGCATAAGGGGAGAGGTAGAAATGATATGCCCTTTCTGCTCACCGTACACTCTACCCTTACAATTGCCTCCGCTTTCCTGAAAAATGGGGAAAAAGCACTGTCTGTTGTGCGAGCTGAGATGGAAAAATAGTGAAAGTGTCAATGATGTCTTCAACTCTTCAAGAGGTGGACAGTGGTGATTCTGAATGCAATACAACTACAAAAGATTTGGCAAATACCACAATACTTCAATAACTTCCTGAAATTCAATTTCATCCATCAAAATCACTACTCTATATGTTATGTTTAGACTGAGAAAAAAAACAGAAAGAACAAGTAGGGATTTTTTTGATGAACAGTGTGTTAAGTTATTGCCAATTTCAGTTTGTTTGTGAAACAATTGGAAACTGGAAAAAGTTCAGAAAGCAGTGGAGTACTTGAAGGAGAAAATGCTGAAAAAATGTATCCCGCACATCCAGAGAATACTGCTATACTACAAATTATACAATATTAGAATTGGCAAAATACTATAAGAAAAAAGTCCAATACCGCAAACCCCAATGCCCCTCCCTTCCTTTCCCCCCCCCCCTCTTTCAATCCCTGAGTATCTAATTTCTCCTTTGAATACCATTCTTGAATAAAACATTAAGGTCATGAGAATAAAGGAAATGATCACAAACTGAAGAAGGTGATGATTCTGTTCAACAAATTCTCCTCTTTGGCGTCATAGAAAATCTATAGAGAACATTATGGAGAATGTGCATACTGATGTTAGATTGTAAAGGATTAGATAGAAAGTAGTAGTGTCCAAGCTAAGGATATCCTTGGGTTTGATGTAGCAAGAAGTAATTTCATGTGAGGGTACTACAACCTCATTATCAGGGTCTCTCCTCTTTCCTTCCTTTTGAACAAGGAAGATGAGAGATCCTGGGTTTGAGGTTGGGGCTGCCTTTGGATGGAGAGTAAGTTCATTACAGTTGGCCCTCCTCAGCTTTGCATCTATTATCCTTGTCAGTTCACTGGTACCCATTTATACTCTTGGGAGGAGAGACACTGTGGAAGTAAACTTTTTTTAACCAAACTCACAGTACACAACACTGATAACTCTAATCAAAGATCTGGAACCCAGTGTATCCACCATCCATTTTTACTCTGACAGTTTCTTAACCCTCTAACTCCCAGATCAAATTTGTAATTCTCCTTCCTATCAACCACACAATTCTTACAATATTAGTTTAGAGAATTTAGTATTGGATCAACTAATTATCCTCACAAGGATATTTTTCTTTATTCTCATCACTTATCTGGTTGATATTGTATGGATATAGTAAGGAGAAATTCTGTCTTGGTCACTCATGGGAGTTAAAGGGTTAAGTGAAGCATGAAAATGTAAGTCCATGGTTGTCATTCTGACTTGCATGGTTTTCTGTGAGCTCTTTTCTGTTTGCTCCACTAAGTTGACGGTTTTATCTTTTACAGATTCTACTGCGCTGGTGGAGAACATTACTTTCCCTCTTCTCGTATCAATGATGGAATATGTGACTGTTGTGATGGATCTGATGAGTGGAAGAAATTTACAGTCAGAGAAGATGTGTTACAGAAACATAACTTTGATATGAAATATGTGCCCTGTCAAAACTTCTGTTGATGGTTGTTTTACCACACAGTAGATATTTGAAAGTTCATTTAAAAGTTATTTTCTAGGATAACATAGGCTGTAGTTCAACATCCAAATGATGATAATTTAACTGTTTCTCTCTGTAACAGTTGAAGTGCTGTCTTCACAATGCTGACCTTCAGCTTGACATAGATGAGCTTACAGACAGAAAATTGATCACACCTTTAAAAAAAATCTGCGATAGCAAACAAATTTCATGTTAAAGAATACTTCTAGAAGAGAAAACTATGCTTAGTGCAATCTCTAGAGAAACTGGCTGACAAAAGTCAATATGCTTAAAAATAACTAGAGTTAAATACAAGAGGACTGCATAACTGGGTATGGTAAGAATTGTGCAAAAGTGAAGGGGTAACTGACAAGAAACAACCACAAACTGAAACAAGAACACTAACAAGGAGTTATGAGAAAAGGAAAGAAAATACTGAGAAGCACAAAATTCTGTTTACAATTAGAAAGCACTTAGATCTTACACCCCCCTTCATGAGTGGTCATTGTAATGGAACTAGGCAAGCAAATGTCATCCTTTCAAAATATCACATAACCATAAAATTTGTCAACCATTTAAACCCAACCTTCAGTATGCAAATTCTTAATACTATTTGACAAACATTTCCTTAGGTCATGTCTAGGAGGATTTGGTCCGTCTAACAGTCAATAGTATTTCTATAAGGTGGTTATTTTCCTCTATTATTGTGACTTTATTCGTGATTCATGGGTGATATAGTAAGGAGTTATTGGTTGCAAATCACTTTTAGAGGTCCAAAAGTTTAGGAAGCATAAAATGCACTAGGCATCCCGACCAGACTCTGAAAAACAGTATTATTTGAACCTAAACATTCAGTTCACTGGATGATGCCAAATTTTCAGTTCACTGGGAGTACTAGGGGCATTCACAAGCTAGACTTTATTTATTTGTACTAGGGTTGTAAATTTGTAATTGCTTGTTCAGCAGATCTCTAAATGCAATGAAAATTCATGACCCGTGAAAATTCTAGGGTTATCATAATGACGCTGCTAGTGTTAAAATATTCATGCCCCCAGCACGACTCTGAACATCTTTTGCCAAGCATTATGTTCCAAGTGGATTGAACATCTGTTATGGTAACATGTCTTCAGTTTAAGCGAGCTGAATGCTTCTGTACAACATGTTTTTGGAGAGAGT